AATCTTATAAATAAACACATAAATAAATCATGATATATGAGTTGAAGAATGCTATGGCTACTTTTGTTTCAATGCTTTATAAAAGTGACGTATGATTTTGTGGCACAAATGACAAATCCTTGTCACAACTGAAGTAGCAGAGTAGTCAAAAGGCTAGTATGAATGAAGAAGTACTTGAGATTTGGAAATTTGCCTCTCTCTGAGTTTCTGTGTGAAATTCACTTGATTCCCTCATATTTATCTCCTGTAACCAAGGGTAGTTCCAGAATTGTTAGACTCTTCAGTGTGTTCCCCTTCCTGCATTGTAGAAGTTTCTGTTGTTGCTTTATGCTGTTATTATAACATTAAATGGGAAATGGCTACTTCTACTTCTGTAGCCAACATGTGCCGCCTGTGATTGGTATTCATTACCTTAATTCTGGCCACTATATTAATTCAGATGAAAAAAGATGGTTCTGAGATGAGGATCAAGGATCAAGAAGCTGTGGCTACCAATGTGGATGATCATTAGGGGTGATTATGATATTATGCTACCAAATATACCATGCAATCTTTGGGTGCCTATTTCAGGGAAAGTCCCATGTTTAAAGGAGTATTATGATTTTTTCTTTCTTTTTGAGATTACAAACCATAACTCTTACATGTAAGCTGCATAAAAGTTAGATGAAAGCTATATAATGCTGTGCCATTTGGGGGCACATTTGACATAAATGAACAGACATACTTGTATAAATAAATCAAAAAATAAGAAGTGGGAAATCACAAACATTTTTGCTGTGTTAAGTCTGGAAGCAAATCTGAATTATGGTCTGTATTAGAAGGAAAATAAATTCCTAATAGGTTGCGGGAATGCTGCAGTTTTGATATATCTAGATTTCAATCAAGTGTTTGACAAATTATCTGATGACATTCTGATTAGCAAGTTAAGTATCAGCTACATAAAATGTAATTAATGAAACATGGAAAAATGTACATGAAATTCAACAGAGGCCATGTTCCCATTCACATAGAAAATAAAATTCAAAAATGAGATATAGGTTGCAGGCTACCTGGTATTCTAATATATTTAAGTGAAAGAAATTGGAATAGTACTGATTATAAATTGAATCTGATTTGGAACTGTGACATATTTTTAGGCTGCATTCAACTGAAGTGCAGTCTCCAAATCACAGATTCCACTTTGTACTGCTACACCCTATAGCAGAGGCGACTAACCTTTTTGTCACCAAGTGCCAAAATGGACTGCACACACATGCACACATATGCCGGAAACCAGAAGCTTAGCATCCCAGCGCATGCATGTGTGCCAGCCACCTAATCTTCTGGTTTCTAACACACATACGCGCACGAAGTTTAGCTGGCCAGTGTGCACATGCACTCTGGTGAGCTGCTTTTCCAGCTTCTGGTGCTCCCTGGTGTGCAAAGATCAGCTGGCTGGCACACACATAGACTCTGGGGAGGTGCTCTTCCAGTTTCTGGTGCTCCCATGCAAAAATCAGCTGGCTAGTGTGCATGCATGTGCAAAGACCAGCTGGCTGGTGCACGCATGTGCTCCTGGGAACTGCTCTTTTGGTTTCCAGCACTTCCATGCATGCGAAGACCAGCTGGCCAATGTTCATGCTCAGAACTCAGAAGAACAACGGGTGACAGCTGGCATGCCCAGAGAAAAGGGACTGCATTGCCACTTCCGGCACATGCGGCATAGGCTCACTATCGCAGCCCTATAGTATATCTAGTTGAAGAACCTATCTTTAAGGAAGAGGAACACAAACAGGTTCCTAAAAAGACAACATGGATGCCTGAGAAAAGGGAAGTCAAATTCTACGGAGAGAGTTTCAAGAAGCTGGATATGATTGAAGAGGAGATTGAGGAATGCTCTCATATCAATAATTTCTAAAAGGATGTCACACTCCATTATGTGTTCTGAGACTGCAGAACTTGGAGTAATGGATTTAAGATACAGAAGATAGATTCTGATGGACAAAGAAAGCAGCTACCCAGAGTAATAGTAGTCACCTTCATGGTGACCTGATCTAGTAGAAACAAGACACCAGTTGTCAAGGATGATTTAATTTAAATTTCTGCACTAAGCAGGAACTTGAATTCTCAACTGAGATGTAAAAAAGAAAGAAAGTCAGAAATCATATAATGGCATCTTATTCAAATACCTGAAAGGGATGTCACTCAAATGAAAGTCAAGAGCTATCTTTAGTTGTTTGAGTGCAGGACAGATTGGATTTAACTTGGAAAGGCAGATTCCAACCCAATGTTTTAGAAAAATGTTGTTAACATTAAAAGCAAGTTGACAACCAAATATCCAGAGGAAGCTCTGGGCCTCCTTATGACATATGTACAAATGGAGATCAGATAATAATTTGTTGTTGGAAATAGTTTAATTTAGATGTCTGTATTGAGCCAAGGTTTGCTTCCTTAGCTTAAACTTTCTCTTCTAAATCCATAGTTTCTGATTGGTAGCCAAGATGGGATTCAGTTTCCAGCTTCATGTGCAGACTGATGGTCAGTGATAGAAAGATTGTGCTTGGTCTTTGTGAACCAACTTGACTTCTTGTGCAGCAAATCCCATATGTAACCAGGAAGGAAGGAATGTAGGTCACTTGAATGCAAGTGATCCCGAACTGGGCTCCAAAGTTAATATTATGGTCACGTTTTTGCACACACTGTCAAGACCAACAGTCTCAAATTCATGATTTGTGGACTATAGGACAATCACTCATGTCATTTTCTGTTATCTACCTAAATCCAGAAATGCCTACTTGCCTACAAGGCCCAGTGAAGTGATATCAGAAAACTTTGATGGGCTCACCAGGTTCTGCACCACCTAATGTCTAGTGAGCAGTGAGGATTGTTCTGCTGACGTTGAATTGTTTGTTTGTTTGTTTATTTATTTTGTCGAGCTTGTATTAGTTACCAGATATAAGTATAAACATGATTATGAATACATGAAATGGATATGAATAAAAGGGGAGAGGGACGGTAGGCACATTGATGCGCTTATGCATGTCCCTTACAGACCTCTTAGGAATGGGGTGAGGTCCACACTAGATAGTCTGAAGTTAAAGTGTTTGAGATTAGTGGAAGAAACCACAGAGTCAGGTAGAGTATTCCATGCATTGATCATTCTGTTGCTGAAGTCATATTTCCTGCAATTGAGTTTGGTGTGGATTACCTTGAATTTGTAACTATTGTGTGCTCCTGTATTGTTGTGGTTGAAGTTGAAATAGTCATTGACAGGTAGGACATTGAAATGGATAATTTTATGTACTACGCTTAGGTCGGACTGAAGGTGTTGTAGTTCTAAGTTGTCTACGCCTAACATTTCAAGTCTGGTGGCATAAGGTATTCTGTTATGAGTAGAAGAGTGGAGGACTCTTCTCGTGAAATATCTCTGGACTCTCTCGATTCTGTTAATGTCCTATATGCAATGCGGCTTCCAGACTGATGAGCTGTATTTGAGAATTGGTTTAGCAAATGTTTTGTATGCTCTAGTTTGTATGTTTGTTTGGTCCATGTCCCACCTTTGAATTCCGTTAATGAAGCTAAACTGAAAGAGATTTAAAAAAATTAGTATTTATATATTACAGGAAGAGTTTGTTACACAAACTAAAGGAGTTTCAGATCCTTGAACAATCTTTTCAGCTTCTTTGCACCCCATTTGCTATAGAACCCGACAGAGCTGCAGAGAAAACACATGTGGAGTTAATGTTGATGCTGAAGTTCATGTTGAAGCAGAAAAGAAAGAATGATTTTTTTTAATTTAATACATTTATGTTAATGGCACATTTATTGTTGACTTACTATTAATGGATTTAAAAAGTTTCCATGTTGAAGCACTTAGAACAATTTGGGTTCAACATGCCAGTCAAACCAAATTAATCAAATAAACTTTTTAAAGGGCTGCCCTAAAAGAAAAATAGATCAGCTTGCTGATTTATATATATTGCTGTTCCAGCTATTCAAGTGACATCATTGTCATATTCTTGCTTTTGGTCCAGGAGGGTTTTAGATACGGAGAAACAAGATATTTTTCCTCACCTGTGTTTAGTTAAAGTAAGAGTCAACATCATGTATCTGTTCTTTTTTATGCTGTTGAAAGCAGTTGGAGTGGTAAACATAACTGAAGGACAATTCATGTGCAGTTCCTTCTGGACTCTATGTTATGGCCATAATTCAACAAACCTCAAGGGTCTTTTTATCCCGTCTGCACAAATTGGCTTGAAATTATCCCAAATAAAAAGCACTCATGTATTCCTAGAATATTAAAGGCACCCTCGATATTGAATCGAATGAAGCAAGTACCTTCTAGTTGTCCCCTTTGATACAGATTGCCACATCCATGGTCACACCTTAGGCAGGTATGCTGCTTTCAGTTTGTGCCAAGTTTTTGTATTGTTTTGTGTGCCTGTGAAGGAATAATATGTGGAAAGGAAAGTTTTAGACACAAACAGTCTTACACTGACTTACTGTTGGTAAATGAATACTGGACAGGAACATTTGCTTGAACATGCTGCCGACAAAAATCTGTTGCATACAGTTTGCTTTGTGGTTGAACTTTTTCCCTGTTCTGTTGATTTCAAATGATTTGAACTTACAAATACGTTTCTGGAGCATAATTTCCTTTCTTCCAATTAAATGCATCAATTCCCTGAAATAACCTGTCTTGTGGGGGCGGTTGGGAGTGGGGATGGATTGGTCTTTTAAAGAAAAGCACAGGCGCACACATGCACACACGCACAAACACTCTCACAGGGAAACTAATGTCTCATCATTAAAAAGACTCTCTTTTGTTCTTGGGACACAAATGTAACCTGGTTAGACTTGTTTTGTTTGTGCGTGAAGGTGTGAGTTGGCTGGCTGTATGCAAATATTTGCAAGCACTGTTTTTTTTTTAAGTTTAATTTTAGAAGATCCAATCAGAATAACAGGAAGTGACCTAAGGGATTCCACAATTGGACAGGTAAGCATTCTAAAAGATGTTTTAAAATTAATAACACATCCATTTATCTTCACTGCTACGAGTGAAGTGATAGCCTGCCACCTATGTTTACTTAATAGCTGACATACCTTGGCCACTCTTTTTACTTTTTTCTCTAACTAAAGGATTTCCTCAACAGAATCAGCAGCTAAATGAGGTAAGGGCTTTTTAACTTGGTCTCTCCTTCAATTCTTTTTTTTTTTTAAACATCAGTAGGATTGGAATTTTAAAAAATGCTTAAGTACAGGCACTGTTTAGCAGTGATGATAAACTTTCTAGTCTGGAAATGCAGGTGGAATTCTTTGATCAAAAGCTGTTCAGCTTGTTAAAGAGTTTGGCTGTCATCCTGCTCTTTGGCAGCTTGAAGTTCAGTGAAATCAGGGAATTTAAAGTGTCATAACTATGTGCAAGCTGTAGCGATTTGCTTTGCCAGTAGAAAAGTAGAGCACATTTGGAGTAAAAATGCTAATAATACTTCAATTTCTTTATCTTGACTTTTGTATGCTCAGCTCTGATTTAGTCACTGAAGTAAAACAATCAAAGGGAGGGGGGGCGAAATGACAATTCTTAAGAGTTGTTTGCAGCTACTAACTTTTAGATAGACTGAATTCTTGGATGTTCCTTGATGGTATATTTTTGAACTATGAGCAGATCAGAAGTCAAATCTGTTGAGTACAACATTGCTCTGAGTTTTCTGAAACATATAAGATGCTAGCTTTAGTGATATATAAAAAAACTTACATAACTATGGATCAGCACCAAATTGTATGTTTGCTTCTCTAATGAAATATTAAAGGTAGTTTATGGATAGCAACGCCAACCCTGGAATTGGTTAATAATAGCTGTGTATCATGAAAGCGTACCAAAATGTTTCCTGTTCTAGTCTGATCTCAGTCAAAGAAAAAATTCCTAGTAATTTTTGCCCAGTCTCCAGAAAAATACCTTGGCTGCTTTCCCATCATTTCCATGCTCTTAATTATTTCTATAGCCTTATATACTTCAAGTTTAGCAGAACAGAATAACAGCAAAATAGGGACTAGGATTTAATTTTGGTATACTGTAAAATGTGCCCATTTCTAATGGCTTTCACTGCTCTTTTTGCCTGAGTAATTCCAAAACATTAGAGATGGTTTAAATTAACTTGACAGTATGTTGTAGTATTTTAGGAACAAACTGTGCACTTAAATTCCTACTTGCTTTAGAAGGTTTGCCATGGTGATTGTCTAATATCTATTTGTATAAGTGCAATTTTAGTTTTTACTTGGCTTATTTATGAAAAGAGATTCAATGTATATTCTGTGTCTACATATAGAACCCGGATATGCAGTAAAACAGGCAATGTTTAACATTTTCATTTGAAATTTAATATTAACCAGAATTCTGAGGCTAATACTTTTTATTGATAGTTAGGAAATAATTACTATCAAAGAGATAGTAAAGGGAATATTGCTTTTAATTCTACATAAATTCAGGATAGATAAATGTCTTTGACAACAATATCAATCTGAAGGATATATATCCTTTTCTGAACAGTTTTTTTTACACATTATTATGATAAAAAAAAGGAAAGCAGGGTCAGTTACCAGTTAATATTATTTTGTGCTAAAAAGGCTTATTGCATTCCACCACCACCCCAATCCACTTTGGCCCAGATCCTATGTGTGCTTAGTTGGAACTTAGTTTACTCAGGCAATCAGATTCACTTCTGAGCCAAACTAACAGAAAAACTCTGCAATAAATTAGTATTTGCTTTTTAAATTTTTTAAATATAATGTATATATAAGTTGTTATTTCTTCTTTCTATTCTTTCTACAGTTCTCTCTTTATATTTTTCTTAATTATAAGGGCAAAAAGGTAAACATTTTATGTTAAGAAATGCCTAGAACTACTCAATACAAGTGCATATAACAGATATGTTTCCATTATATTTTATATATTGCCCAAAGTAGTTCAAATATTAAAATATTTTACTATGTTATTGTCATTACAAAGGATGGCTGATACTACAGTGAGGTAGAAATATAAAATTATTTACAAACACAAGTTCACATCTTCTAGAAATGTCACACACACACACTCCTTGGGAATAGAATTTTCCTTATATATGATCAAAAGTATATACTTAAGAAAATTAGATTTTTGTAAAAAGATATAGAAAAATGCTAAGGAATATTAGAACTACTGGGACAGAGAGCTTTCCTTGTGTTCTCCAACATAGATATAAAAGCTGGATATAGAGAGCTGATCAAATGGTGACAGTCTATCTAATTTCCTTGCATATGTTACAATTTTTATATGCAGAAAGTGGCAGTATAAGATTGTGAAATGAGAAAGCCATTTCCATTGTGACATGAAAAAGTCATTTCTATGCCATTAGTTGTTTGTAAAAGCTTGAAATTGAGGACATGTAGTGAGGTTTCCTACTTTTGCAATTTACTTAATCCAAGGGATTATACAAATCCACAAAAGGGCCATTAATACAGACAGACAGACAGACAGACAGACAGACAGACAGACACAGTAATTGTACTTCTTGCATTAATTCATCATTCCTTCAAAGAGATTTAGAGGGAATCTAAGGTATGTTTGTATAAAAATCCTTGAAAAACTCCAATTTGAGACCTTTTAAGTGAACTAGAATTTGAATTTTCCATACCCAGATGTAAAGTTTTGTCTATTAATATATTATAATTTATTTCAATTGACTGAGCATGGAAGATGAAAATAACTTAGGGTAGATGAAAATAAGTCAGGGTGGATGAAAATAACTTTGGTTCAGCCAAAGAATTAAGTCCTATTATAGATTTTTTTTTCTGAATAATCATTTCTAGCATTGCTCTGAAAAACAATATTCTTAATTATTATGAAAACCAATGTGATTAAACTGATTTGTAGTGTTGAGTCTTAACCAATGATATCTGTGTATCTCTATAGTCTTACTGATGCACAAACATTTGGTAAAATTAGTTTTCTTATTCTTTGTAATTGAGGGTGAACTCTATCTGAACTTTCTTTTTACAAAGAATTGACTTCTCTGTCTAAATACAGGGAATTCACATAGGACATTGGATCATAGAACACATAATTATTTTAAGATAAATTATATCTCTACTTCCCAACAAACATAGCTTTCTCTAAGTAGTCAATTTGTGTAGTCAGTATTTAAAGGTACAAAGTAAACAACATTAAATTAGATATAGAAGTTGACATCATACAAAACAGATGTTAACTACGCTAATAATAGTTTCATTACGAACTAGAATTCTTTTAAAATGAAAGGACTTGCCTATATGAATACAAGACATTTCTGAAGACTCCTTATTTTATCAAGTTTGTATTGAATTCTATCATCCTGGCATATAAAACATTTTCGTTACAATAAATATTGGAGGGGTTTTTTTTCACTTCCAAACCTCCAGTTTAGCTTAATGTCAATGTATCCCATTCTTTATGCAAATCTCTCTCTTTTGATTTTTATCCATGAAATGAATAAGTCACTATTCTGTATGTGTGGAGGGGGTTTATATATTTGGGTCAAGAGGATGGCAGCATTTGAAGACTTAAAGGCTACAATGATGAGATATATCATACACATACTTCTGTCATGGGTAGAAGTGGAATCCAACATATAGGAGCTTCATATACATAGAAAAAAAGATATGTAATGTAACAACCTTTCAATCTGAATTGGATACTTGGGACCACATTTCAGTATTAGAGTATTCTATTAAAGTAGAAATCCTATAGAAAGACAAATTTTTCTTTATAGGTGAGATCTAATGAATGGAATATTTAATTGTCCTATATCTATAAAAATTAAAGTTAAAAGGTCCTAGTTTATTAAAATTAAATTATTAAAATATTGTATGTAGGGCTAGCCTTTTATACAGCAATACACTATTTTGCATAAAAAGAATATATGGTTCAATCTGAAGCGTTTTCAGCAGAGATCATGGGCATTTCTTGAAGAGCTACTGATACAAAACTAGGCACTATAAAATGAAACTGATCAATAAATTAAAACATAGCAGGTGTCTTCCCAGACCACTGAAACTCATGGGGTTCTGGTAATTTTGTTTTGAAATGTTATAGTAAGCTGTTATAATCTCAGGAGATTTTATGGGAGAACACTGAAATCTCACAGGATTTTATGTGAACATCAAAACCCATAGGATGTTATGATCCACAAATTATTGGCTATTTATTAAATCCTAAATTTAATTCTTGATTGTAGATCACAACTACACTACATATGTTGATGGTCTGTTTCAACATATAGCAATTTGTTTTCTGACATTTGTGATTTTCCTAGGTAATTATCAGTCATTGTTTTATTACAGCATTTAAATAAGAACTTTATTGGCTTACCCTATGTTTGTCTGATTTGACATAAAAATTAAACAATAGTTCAGTTATAGCTCTTAATCTGTCATAGTGGTGGTGCATACTCTAGTTTGAAGAAAGAAGAGGAATCATAACTATATTATTAAGTATTTCATAAAAGTAGTGAAAGCCCGGATGAAGTAAAATTTTGGAACAATTAATAGCTATAAAAGAAACCTAAGCAAACTTGGTATAATTTGCATGAATATAATTGAAAGGAATATAATTGAAACAGTGGTATATTGTACTAAGTACAGTAAGTAAAACATCCCATAACTAAATCCCAACATGGTACAAAATATGGAATATTTAGGTTACATATTTGTTTATCAGTCTTACTAGATAGAAAATTACATATTAAAAATGAAATTAGCAAATGAATGGACAAATTAAGTTCTCTATATTAATATTGTGTAATGTCCAAAAGACAGAGCCATTTTCACTCATAGCATTCAATGTGCTATTTAGGAACTATTTAAGAGTTGCCTGCCAAATTATGGAAGTACCAAGTTCCCAACTCATGTGCAACAAAGCTTCTTGTTGGTTCTACACAGTATCCAGATTTGTTCTACAGAACATGGGGTTGAGGGACAAAGGAAAAAAATGTTCCATTGATGAATGCAATTCTACTAAGGAAATGACACCCTTATATAGCCTAAATTGTGTTTTTAATATGAGCATAAAAGTACTGCAACTTAACTTATGTGTAGTCTCTATCTACAACAAAGTTACAACTAAGAACTTTCAAACTTACATTATCAATGATACTATGTG